TATCCAAATGGTATCTCACCTTTAGAGAGGCCATTTATTGATACTTTCTATGCGATTGGTCAAGTAAGTTTTTATCAATTCTTTATTAGTTTATCATTACTGTTATCGAATTTATTTTCTCATTTTATTTTCAGGCAATGCAATTGGTTAATATTGCTCGTGATATTGTCCATGATAGTACAACCGATGGAAGATGTTATATACCTGCAATGTTCATGGAAAATTCTGAAAAAGAAATTGACCTGTTAACGAATAAGAAAACACCCTGGGCCTTGGGTGTGGAAACTTTGAGTAAATATTCAAAGTTAATTGTAGCTCTTTCTTATTATTGCTGCTCTAAAGTACCGCAAACATTGAATTCGATGCCTGGTGAGGTTCGAAAACCTTTAATGATATTCAGTGAAATTTATCGAACTATTGGTTCACAGATATTGAAACATGAAGGTTTCGAAAAACGTATTTTCGTACCACTTTACAAGAAGATTTGGATCGCATTGAGTTACCTTTATTTCAATAGAAAACACATCTAAATACAATTTACTCTTTTTCGATTTTGTATCAAAATCTTTTCTCTTCTTCTTAATTGTAATTAAAAATTAAAATTCTATCGTTATTATGTACATATCAATAAACTTTATATTAATCTAAACTCTCAATGAACCAACAGAGTATTAGTTTTATCATGTCTTAGGATTCACCATGAGAGTCATTAAAATTTTGATTGAGAGAAATTAAGATTTTACCTTCGATATTTAGATCGAGATAATAAAGTTTGGTAATTTCGATATTATCAAAAAGTGATTGACAGGCACAAACATCGCCTTAGGGCATCAAGGGCTGACCAGTTTGTTTTATTAATTTCCTTTGGTGACTAAATGATTGTGATCATTAAGATAATAATCATCTTCATCTCATGCTTGTTGTTTATCATTTTTTTGCTTCTTTGCTCATGTTTTGATCATTAGGGAATAATAAATAATTTAGTAATCATATTTGTCACAATTTAATCACATTAAGTTAATGATTATCGACATTTGGAACTGGAAATTCAAAGGGATAATCCATTCGTTTCCACTATTAAGTCTACTAGGTGATTAGCTCTGGACCAGATTAACTCTTTAAACTTTCATTTCATCTTAGAAAAATAACTTTTCTTGGATTACAATCAATTAGATAATTAAATTAAAACCATTAGCGATTAATTGATAAAATGTTATCCGATTATCTTATCAGTTTTTTTCCTTCAAACAAACTCAAAGATTGAAGGGAAAACTAGTTGTAACCATGGAAATTAACCAGTAACAATTCGTAATTACGTTAATCATGTTGTTTATTTTCACAGAAATTAAATTTATCCTTATTTCCTTTATCATAACAACACATTAAACTGTTTTCATTCATTAGGTTAATGTTTAAAACTACAACAATTAACAGAGATTCTTTAATTGCTATTAAAATCGTTTTGTTGTTCAGTTGTAATTTGTGTGGATAAAATGTCAAAGACTAATGAAAGACCATTGAAAATTTTGATAACATCGATGATCAGGTGAGTTTAATTCATCTAATAATTGTATCCAAGTTAATTAATTCAAGTTAACTGATTGTTTTGTTTAGTGTTGGTCATTTAAATGCCTGTCTTGGAATTGGATTGTTACTTCATAAACGTGGGCATGATGTTTATTTTGCTCATTATCTTAAGAATCGTTCGGTCATTGAATCAAATGGAATGAAATTCATCTCATTATCGGAGTATAATAATAATTCAGATTATATTATCCATGAAGATTTACCTCGACCTCCAGGATTTTTTAAATCTAAATTTGATCATGCAATGAAATTTTCACCACTCGAAATGATCAAAGATGAGCTAAACAGTAATAAAGATAATGTCGGTTTCCTGAGTCTCCTTGAAGCCTCAATTGGTGAAAATTATTCAATGTTGAACATAATTGACCAGTTGAAACCCGATGTATGTTTAACCGATTACCTTTGGGTCATGCCTTGGATGGTAAAGGTTAATATTCCAGTGGTACCTATCATGTCAACCTCACCTAATGACCTTTACAATGGACCACCTCTCATGTCAGGATATTCTATCAATAGTTCACCTCAACTTTGGAAAGAATATAATTCACTTCGAGAAAGGTCCGAATTACGATTTGTAGCTCGAGCTAGCGAGATTTTTAGCTCTTTTGGTGTTGAATATGTGCCAAGAACTTATGCTAAACAATTGGGAATTTATATCTACCCTGGACCTTTGGATTATAAAGAATTGGGCCCTCCCATGAAACCATGGATGCGACTTGATTCAGCAATTAGATTAACAAGTTCAACTGAATTTGTGATTCCTGATAAGCTTAAAGATGGACCTGGTAAATTGGTTTACGTTTCAATGGGAACTTTGGCTTCAACAGTTCCTGAAATGATGAACATGATGATTTCTGCTTTATCCAAGTCACCTCATCGTTTTATCATTTCAACTGGACCTTTTGGTGATTCATATAAGCTTTATGATAATATGTGGGGTGATAAGTATCTAGATCAAGTGTCCATATTACCTAAAGTCGATCTATTCATCACTCATGGAGGTTCAAATTCACTGATTGAAAGTCTTACTGTTGGAAAACCACTTCTTGTGATACCTCAATTTGGCGATCAATTGGCTAATGGCCAACGAATTGTTGATCTAAAATTGGGGGATAAGATTAACCTGTGGGAGTTTAATGAAGAAAAATTAGTTGAAAAGATTGATCTTGTTCTTAATGATGATCTTATTCGTGCCAATGTTGCCAGAGTTGCGGAAGAATTGAAGAAATCAGACTCAACAAATGAAGTTTGTTCTGCAATTGAAAATCTCGCTCGAGCCAAGGAACCATCAGTCTAGTTGATTAACAACAATTAACCAGTTGAATTAACGTTTGCACTTTTATCCTCATCTTCAAACATACTAATTGAATTGCGCGCGAAAAAACTTGAATCGTTCAAGAAAATTATTACAAAGTTTTACCTGAAAGTTTGGTTCGTATCGATCAAATTGTAATTTAGCTGTAAAAAAATGATCGAAGTGTTTCAATTTTGATTTCATTAGTCGATATTGTGAGAAAATCTGATAAATTTCAGTCAAGATAATCAACTAATAAACTCATTTTAATTGATTTTATTTATTTTATTTTTTATCGATTTACAAGTTCACCATTTTGTATTCAATCATCTCTAAGATCTGCTTGAATCTTAGGTGCTAGTAAACGTGCTGATTTCATTACTACGGGCACTCCAGCTCCAGGTTGAGTTGATGCTCCAGTAAAGTAGAGATTCTTAAAGAATGAACTTTTCTGGGAAGGTCTGAAAGCGAGTAAATTTGTAAGATTATGATTAATCCCAAGAATTGTTCCTTTCCATGCATTGTATTTAAATTCCCATGTTTCTGGTGTCTCAACAAGTTCAGTCTCAATGAGTGAGGAAAAGTCACTTATCTCAAGACGATTTTCAAGAGAATTAATTATTTTCTCTTTCAATTGGAGAACCAACTTGTCAAAGTTAACGGATGAATCGGCCATCGCTCCAACAGGTACTAAAACTGTAAGCGCATCTTTACCCGTCGGTGCCAATTCTGGATCCATTCGGTTTGCAATATGAATATAAAACGCTGGATCATCAGGGACAATTTTATCCTCATGAATTTGTCGAAATAATTTCTCATAATCAAGAGGTAAAAATATATTGTGAGCCTTTAATCGTGTCAATTGTTTCGATAAGCCCCAGAAAAAGGTGATCGTTGAAGGTACATTGTCCACCGATGCAAGATGATCCCCATAAGATGTTTGAGGTAAAAGTTTATTATAAGTATAAGTTAGATCGGCATTGGAAATGACCGCATCCGATGGGTGGAAGGTTTCATTTGATAAACGGACACCGATGGCCTTTCCCTGTGAGTCAATTTCAATCTTATCCACAGAGGAATTGTAAACAATTTCAACTCCAAACTTTTGGGTTGCAATTTTTTCCAATGCATTGACCACACTGACCATTCCTCCCTTTGGATACCAGATACCTCTTAATAGCTCAGTTGCCGGTAGAACGGTGAACAAACCAGAACCTTTAAATGGTGAAATACTTGAGAGAAAATGGTAAAAGTTAATAATCTAATGATGATTAAGAATAATGATTAACTTTGATCAATATAATTACCCAAAGTAAAGAGCCTGGAAAGTCAATGCTTGACGAACTTCATCCGATTGGAAATATTTACTCACAATATCGTACATGGATGAGCCTAAGGGTATCGACGGAAGCCTTGTGATTAAATCTACGTTGATTAGATCCCAATAAGAATCGTAAGTTGAATTAAAGACAAGATTGTAGACAATGTCACGAAACTTTTCACACTCTTTTAGAAAAGAGATTAAATTTTTCTGACAAGAATCAGAATCTTTCTCGAAAATTTCAATCGTTTCCAAGAGTTTATCCATCGATGTTGTATATTCAAAGGTTTTCCCGTTACCGAAAAAAACTTTATGATGATCAGTATAATGAATTATATCCACATGAGATTCAATGGATTCACCAAGTTCGGCAAAGTTTCCTCGTAAATGTCACTGAAAAGGTAAAGAATTGCCCTTGTTCCCATGAAAAACCATCTCGAGAAACTCTGGAACATCGACCACCACAATATCCGTTCTTTTCGAAGAGGGTCACCTGAAAGCCCATCGACGAAAGTCGAGCGGCAGCGGTAAGTCCACCTACTCCTCCACCGATGATGTTAATTTTCTTCCTTTCTGATTGTACCATAATTAACGAGCAAATGTAATTAAAATTAGAGTGTCAACTTGATCGGAATAATTCAAGTTTAATATTAACAAAAAGTTTTGGGAACTTCGGTGAACACAAATAATAATCAAAACTTTTTTTAAATTTGAACTATTGAGATTCTAATTGATCAACTTTACTCTTATTTCTTAATGAATAACTTTTGATTGCTACGATTTGAATTACTAGAATAACTAATTCATATTTGATTCCTCTCTTCTTATATGTTTTACATTTAATTCCCAGTTAATTATCGCTGAGTTTTAATCAACAATTTAAACGAACATAAAATTGATCATTAAGCTAACAAACGCAATCGACTCGAAAGTTTATGTAAACAATATTGAAACAATTTAGCACGTAATTAATTATGAATATTTTTTCATCAACAATTTAATGTTAAAATGTTACAAATTCAGTTTCAATCAAACAATTTACGAGACTAATTAATCAATAGTCAAATCTTAATCGGTTGATTTGTTTCCTCGTCTTTTTTTTATATAATCCAATAAATCGTTATTAAAACTTAATCAATGACGTTATTACTAAATGAAAAGATCGTTTTGAAATTCCCATTTGAAACCAGGTAAATGTTGCAATTAGTTGATAATTTGTATAAGACGAATGTCCAATTAGGTGAATTGACCAATCAAGATGATATTGATGATCAACAAGCGGTGAATCCACCATCAATCGGAAGAATAGCACCATTGATCATTGAAGATCGATCGCTAAGAAGGAAAACAATAGCGTCCACAACTTCATCTACTTCGGCAAATCGACGAAGTGGAATTTGGTTCAACATCCAATCTCGCTTGGTCGGTTCTGACCAACCCTTTCTACCCAATTCAGTAAGAACAACGGTCGGATTGACAGAATTACAACGAATATTAAATGGACCAAGTTCTAAAGCTGAAACTCGAGTTATCTGATCAACAGCACCTTTCGATGCACAGTAGACCACATGATCTTGTAAGGCCACCATTCCCGCTTGACTAGAGATATTGACAATCGATCCCGATTTACCTTCGGCCTTAAGTTTAGCAACAACTTGCTGAGTAACATTGATGATCGCTTTTACATTGATATTAAAATGACTTATTTAAGGTATCGGAGAAAGAAAATTAATTTTAATTGTCACTAATTGTAATTAACTTACTAAGTATTACTTACATGTCACAAATTTCCTCATCGACGGTTCCAATGGCATTATTTTGTCCAAATGCCGCATTGTTAACCAGTAAATCAATTGTATCCAATGAAGATATTACACTTTTTGTCTCATTCCAATGTGCCAGGTCACATTGAACAATCTTAATTGATGGTAACTTTAATTAACAATAAAAAAAAAACTTTCTCATGATAATTATCACATAATTATTATTGAAAATGATTCTTCAATTATATTACCTCTGCTTTGAGAGTTTCAAGATTTTCGAGTGTCTTACTCAGAGCAACGACATCGGCACCGAGTTTCACCAACCTTTTAACGGTCTCTCTCCCAATCCCTGAGAAATTATCACAAATCATCAGTCAATTAATTGGAACTATTAGTTAATTAATCACAGAATTACCTCTTCCTGCTCCAGTGACAAGAGCTCGTTTACCATTGAACGAAATGTCCATAATGTAATCAAATTGATTCTCAACTGACTTATGAAAAATGAACTCAAATCAAATTACAATTAGAGTTGATTCAATTCTAATTGTAAGACTGATGATGATTTAGAAAAAAAAAGAAACAATTAATTGCTTCATTGTGAAGAGCTTAGATAATTAATCTCCATAGTTTCAGAAATTAATTGTTCCCTTAACATTAAATCAACTGAGTGCTTCTTTATTTCATTTAATTGTCTTTACTTATTATTACAATTAAAATCAACCACAAGAATCTTATCAACGAAAGTACTTCTAATTAAGTTGATTGGACTTTCTCTTGGTTAGATTAGTTAATTGTTTCTTTCTCATGATTAACCATTTCATTAATAATTTAAGTACTTAAAAACAATTAGAGTTTAGTTTAAAGTATTTTCCATCAATCATTGAAAGTATCAACAACAATTAATCTTGATTAGATTCAATTTAACTATAAAATGATTCAAATGAAACAAAAATGGTTTAAATTGGTTGGATAAATTGTAAATCATGAGGATCGATAAGGAAAAGTAAATCAATTAATAATCAGGAAGCACAATCAGGAATCAGTTATCAACGTAACAAACCAGTAACAATCGTAAACGTGACAAGGTTAACTCAAGAATCAAATTAATTATAAATCAAATCATAAATTAATCATAATTTTTAATAGTTAACATTCAACGAGAGGTAATTAGTTTGTAAGCTTATCAATCTGATATAATAATTATGCCACAATTAAGATGAGTAGACAACTGATGAAAAGTTGTTGACAAAATTAGGAAAGTTAATACAATCAACAAGCCAGGTCAACAATTAACCTTTCAGAAATAAATCAGTTCAATAGGTCGTAAATTTAATTTTAATTTTCTCATTTTAGTAAACTCTTTTTAATTCAAAAATCGCGCCAAAAGTTAATTTTCAACTTTCACCAAAAGATTTTCACCTTTACCGGTAAATTCAAACTCACTTTCCGTCAAATTTTTCCTCAATTAATTTCATTTAAATTCAATTGTAAATTTCATCGATTAATTTAAATGAACGCGAATAATTTTTTCTACATTTGATCAGACCTTTCTTTTTATTATTATATTGTGAATGTGATTTCAAGAGCCACGACTAGACTTGATTGTTTAATTCTTGATGATAGTCGATTAACATGATTAAATTGTTTTCTTCATGTTTTTTTTTCCTAATATTATTGCATTTGATTTGTAATTGAATCTCTCTCTCTCTCTCACATTTGCATGGTTACTTTAATTAACTGGTCCTTCTTTTCATTAGATGCTGAGCTTTATATAGACAATTGATTACTTTGAAATCCAAACGAAGGTGTTAATTGCTTTTACTAATAATTTTCTTGGACCAAAACGTTGAAATTTTGTTCGTTTTCCCTTTTCGATAAAACTTTTATCACTTTTCCTCTGATGATATACAAAAGTATATTAATTGTGTTCTCAGTCTTCTTTTGCAGCAGTTGATTGCGTTGATTGGTTCTTTCGATTCTCGTCTTCAGAGTATTTAAATACACTGGCGATGATTTTATGGCCTTTTCTTTTGTCACATTCATGGTAAAAACCTCATGTATAAAAAACGTTTGTTTTCATATATCGAGGGAGAGGCTCACATTTTTTATTTGGTTTCAATTGTGTTTTTTTTTGTTGTTGTGGTAGATTGGTGCTGATAGATTCAATTAATTGCTAATGAAGAAAAGAAAAGAAATAAAGAATTTCATCATTTGTTTTTTCTCTTCCTCTCTTTTATCGAATTGTAAAGGGGCATATATTTTAGAATTTCAATCAAAATTTGAGAAACCGGAGGAGGTTGTTTCTGACGAATCACTGGTCTGGCTATGAATCCTTGATGTGTTCTAGCCATTGGGTGCTGACAATTTTGTAGACCGTTTGTGATTGAAAATGGATTCGCGTGGGTTGGGTGAACCTGATGCTGCGTTGGATGTTGGTGATGTTGAGAGTTTTGTTGGAACCAAGGCTGAAGAAATCGAAAAGTAAATAAAGAAAGTTAATTAATATGCAAATATGACACAAATAGATTGTTGGTGATAAATGTTTCCATTTTCATGATAACAAGATAAATTTACGAAACATGGAATAGAAAGAGAGAGAGAGAGAGAGAGAGAGAGAGAGAGAGAGAACTGTCAAAAGTATGGATAAAACATTAATTGGGAACAAATTGGGAAAAGAGTGAAAATAGATAGAATTTTATCTCATTTATCGAGAAATTGTCAAAAATGACAATATTCATGGAGAATTTCATTTCATAATAGAATCTGATAAGTTAGCTAGACGTTTAATTAATAGAAAGATCATAATTGAATGATAAAACCAAAAATTAGGTAACCGTTAGAAAAGGTTATGAGAGTTGTGATTGTTAAATTTATTCTAACACGACGATTGACACACATTTAAAGAAAAGTTACTTAAATTACTTACCGTTATTTGAGAGGGTGCATGAACAAACGGAATTTGTTGCTGGTGGTGTTGTGGTTGCTGTTGTGTTTGTTGTTGTTGTTGTTGCGTCTGGGCGGGAGGCTTAAAGTAGTTGGGAGAAGCTGATGTTGAGCTTCCAGCGAAGGTGATATTGACATTGGGTAGAAGTGCTTTTAATGAATTGCGCCAGGATATGTGTTCCTGAGTAAGCTGATCATCCCTCATTGTGGATCGAGATAACATGGAGGGTGATGGATAGTTGACGGACTGAGAATAACCGGTGGACACTGGAATTGATTGACTCATCCCTAAACAAGAAACATTATCCTCATATGGATGATTTCTGATTAAATCTTCTAATCCATTAGTGGATATGGTTATTGGATCAAAATCAAGACCATCATCCTCAATACTAGTTCCTGGTGAATTTGGAGGCATCGATTCATCACCTGGTGATTTACAACGATTCTCTTTTCCGGATCCTTCATCTTCCTCTTGTTCTTCTTCCTCTAAAGAGGAAATATGAGGATGTGGTAATGAATTGCCCGAAGAACAGGTTGAAAAGCTGGTGCTACTATCACTACTAATTCCAATTATTTCATCGAGTGAATTTTGGTTTCCACAGTCATCCCTACGATCGATGTTAAAGGTTCCACTATCTCCTTCATTGGAACAATTTGATTCATAAGATCCAATATCATCTCTAACATAATTACACATTTCATTAGATTCACCGTCAAAATCCACTGTCCCTTGTTTGTTGTGGTCCTGTGGTAATGTTGGATACCTTTGATTCAATGCACCATTTACGCTTTTTCTACTTAAATATTGGTTAATTAACTTCTTTTCATATTCCGTGTGTTTCCCTTGTTGCATTTCCTCTTTAGTAAATGAAGCCTCAGGATCTGCCAGTTCGTGTAGGTACATACCTAAACCAATAGAGTTAAATAGAAGAAAAGAAAAACATAATAAAAACAACAAAAGGTAAATTAATTCGGTTAAATGTCAATATAAATAAAGGAAGAGATAAAATCACAAATCAAAAGGGATAATTGTTTAGTATCTTACATTCAGGTAATTTGGGACATTGCATGTTCTTTAACCAATGAGTACAGTATTTTGTAGTCCCTAAACTTGCTCGCAAGGTAAGATTAGCACCTTTCTTGGAGCCTTTAACATCTTTTAGACCGTTAATGATTATTTGATTATTTCCATTACATTGATTACTCTGATTTAATGTTTGAATAGCTTTGATCGCATCCTCGGGCCTTGAATAGGTAACGTAAACAGAGTTAACTAAACTGTTTCCATTGCTACCGATCACTAATTTATGAATTTTTCCAAATTTGCTAAATTCCCTCCTGTTAATATAAAGGAAGAGAAAAAGAGAAACAAAAAAAAATTAGTAAACAATAACAATAAAGAGATGAGATAAAATTGGTTGAATGGCTTCATCAAAATGGAATTAGAAAGAAAAAGGTTAACCAAAATATCAGCAGGTTTTTGAGAGATGAAGAGAGAGAGAAAAAAAGAGAATATGAGAAGTAAAATTGTCTATTAGCTATTTTTCTATGATTTAAATTAGTAGCTTAAATTGTTTCATTTTCCAAAGTTAGAAGGATGAACTTGAAGAACAATCAAAACAGGAAAACGATTCTAGTTGATTCTCAACTGAGAATGTGAAGAAAAAGGTAAGGTGTTAATCCAAAGGGGAAAAGAAAATGAAAAATGAGGTGATGAAAATGAAAGAGAATCATGATCATGGTGGAAGTGGAATTGATGGCGATGGTGTTGAGAAGCACTTTGATCATACCTCAAATCTTCTTGAGATAATCTAGATGGTATTCCAATAACGAAGACTAAATTTTTTTGCACGACCCGAAGACCAGCCAGATTTTTCTCTTCTTTCTTAACCAGATTGACCGTCTTTTTACTTTCTTGTTGTTGATTCAATTTCTGTTTATTTGCTTGTTTCTTTTTCTTCTTCTTGTTTTTAACCAATTCTGACATTGCTTCAATCGTTAAATTAGAGTTAAATCCAACTGGTGATTCAGGATATTCTTGTCTACAGGCTGGACACAGTCCTCTTCCACTTTTACCAGTTTCAATGTTATCCTCTTCATTGGCCAAACGGTGCCAACAAAATCTACAAATTTGATAGCCACATGGACAAGGAAAAAAGTCTATATCATCAGCTTCTATGGGTTCCAAACACAAGGGGCACTGATTCTCGTCCATTGATAATGATTCCTGATTTTCGGCTTGTATTTATTTTTCTTCCTTCTCCAAGCAAAAACGAATTACCAAAAAAAAATGTTCGACACTTGAAAGGGAAACAAGCGAATATTAACCAAAAATCAAATCCTTAAGGTGAATGAAGAGAGAGAGAGAGAGAAGATAGAGAATAACAGACAGAGGGAGAAAAAGAGATAGATAGAGAGCTAGAGAGAAATAGAGAGAGAAAGATAGAGATTAAGAGAAGAACAAGAAGGAAGAGAGAAAAAAATAGAGAAGAGAAGAAAAAAAAGAGCAAAGTCAATTGATCACTTTGTGTATATAATCAAATGGTTGTTGTGTTGGTGAAAAAAAGCCTTGATGTTTGTGTGAGAATAGAGAGAGAGAGAGAAAGAGCCAAATGGTTTCTTCTTATTCTTCTTTATATCAACAAAAACAAAAGCACAAAAGGTCCGAGAGGTTGAAGAAAAGGTTACTTAATATTATTGAGAATAGAATTTTAATTGAACAAATTTATTTAATTCCAAATTGGCGATGATTAATTTAATAGAATAATAATAATAATAATAATATAATAATAATACGATAATAATAATAAACTGAATGAATGAAAAGAGAGAATAAGAGATTTGAAGAGAGAAACAAAAAAGAGAAAAGAAAGAGAATATTTTTGTAGACAGAAAGAGAGAAAAGGTAGACAGAGAAAAGAAAGAGAATGGAATTAGAAAGTAAGATAGACAGAAACGCTCGTTGAAAGAGCTTCAAAGTGGAAAGAGAGGCAAAAATAAATGCGTTTTAACATTTTCTATCGAGATTTAATTGTAACAATTTAATTTGCGAACAATTTTACTCATTATTTTGTCGAAATTGTTGTTCCATTGATTAAATTGATTCTCTTTCTTTTTTTACTCTTCGCTTCTTATTATTTACCAATAGACTTTTTCTTGTCTCTAATTGTTAAGATCGTTTTTCGTTTTTTTCGTAGTTTTGATTAACTGATTTACTGTTGTTGTTGTTGTTGATTAATTGTAATTGCTTTGTGATTGTGAACACTGGAAATTTAAGTTTTCGTTGAGAAAATTTAATCGTTTGTAGTAATTAGTTTAATTTGTTTCGTCTATTAAGTATTTTAGTCTTGAAGGATTAGTACTTTTACTTTAGTAGGAATTAGTTGACTAATTAGTTGATGGATTTAATTTTTTTTCTTCAAGTTAATTTGATTTTTAGGTTAATTCTTAAGTAAATATAATCCAAGGTGAGACTCTAATGGTCAATCGGATTAAACATTTTCTCAAGTGTCTTTTAATTGTTTCCATTGTTAATTAGAAATGAAGTTTAAGTTTAAATTGTAAGTCGAAAGTTTTTTTTTGTTCTGATTGAAGTGTTTTTATCGTTTCGATTAAATTTTGAACAGTTCTAACGAAACAATCGAAAGTTACTCATCAGCAATTAAATGAATATAATTGACTATCATGAAACTCAATTAATCTGAATTTCAAATGAGAAATTGAGATTTTGCTGAAACAATTTAATCTGATTGTTATTTCTATCTACGTATTGATTGTTATTGTTAGTTTATTGACATTCAATTGATTTAATCAATTTGTTCAGCGATAAATTGTTTCTATTTTGTATGATTATGATATACAATTAACTTTGTATCAACAACTGTTAACATAAAGGGTTAATTAACTTACTGATGATGATGATTATCAATAATAATAAAGTCAATACAATTAATACAGTCTTTTTCCTATGAATTCACCTTTTTTCTCTTTTGAGATAAACTAATTTACTATAATTAATATTAATTTACTTATTAACTAAGAAAAAACCTTAATCCGATTCGAGAATTAGAATTAATCTCTTTATTTTCAATACAATTCATTTTTTCTCATTACAATTGACCTTTTTTTCATTAGAATTAATTATCGATATGTTTTTTACCAATACAATCAGGGATATATTTTTTCATGTGATTGTAGTAATTTTTACAATCTTCCGATGTGATCATTTCTGAGGCCAATTCAACACCTTCGAAAACTTGTTCAGCATTAGCAGGTCGATATCTTTTCACGTAGAATTTTAATTGATTGAATAAATTTTCAATCGGGTTCAAAAATGGTGAATAAGGAGGTAGGAAGAGAAGTCGATGTCCAGCAGAATTGATTTCATTCTTAATTATATCACATCACCGAATTCGTTGAATCGTTTGATTATTGATTTAATTGTATTTTCATTCACGTTGTATGTTTCTGCTAAATAAGAAACTCGATAGCTTTTTTTATAACCTTCGATTATCAATTTTCGTATTGATTCACTCACCATATTATAATTTCTACTCGACATTTTGATAAACAATTAGAATTACAAATTAACATTAACTGATGAGATTGAATTGTACTGATCAATTGTTTTGAAAACAAGTTTATTTATAAAGAGAAAAAGGTCAATTCTAGTGAGAAAAATAGAGATTAAATCTCTTTCGCCCCGAAGGAAAATTAATTCTAATGAAAAAAAGTTTATCTCTTAAGAGAATGAAGGTGAATTCGGAGGAAAAAGACTGTAATTGGTCAGAATTGTAAAGGAAATGCAACTAAAACTTAATCGTTAATCATGATAATCAACAAACAATTAATTTCTTCTCACATTCGTAATTTAATTGTAAAATAAACAGCCACTAATCAAGAGTCTAAAATTGATTAACAATTAACTGTCTGAATACAATTAAGATCGCAATTTGAACACGTTTAACTAGTTATTGGCATTTTAATTGAATTAAATCCTGTTTATTATCACAATCAGTATTATTATTTTAATCATTAACTAAATTTAGGGATATTAATTGTGTTAATCGACTGGGAAAATAAAACAAGGTTAAACTAAATTGTTCAAATTGACGATTAATTTATTCAATTAAAAAGTCTATGGGTTTTGATGATTACACAATTTTAATCAAATCGATCATAATAAACTTGGTTTACAAGAAGTAATCAACTAATTGTTGAGATGGATAATACAATTTCAACGATTTCTACGAGGAATCAGTAAGTTCAATCGGAATCGAATTGAAGTTTATACAGATTGATAGCATTTTCTAATCATTCATCTTGTGGATTATTAATTGCGATTCTCTTTCATCAAGAGAGTCAAGCTTAATTGTAAAGGAACAATTAATAGTTTCTTTTTCACCCTGAAATCTAATCAAGTGAATGAACTTTTTCTTTAGCAACGAACTGCTCAATAGCCGAAGCGAAATTTGAAATTGACAGTTTCGATCATGAGTTGGATCCATGGATTTCATTAGGAGTCATCTCTTGTCACCAATCGAAAGTTTCTTGTTGAATGTGAGGTTAATTAACCTTAATAATCAGGATCGAAAGATATTGAGCGACGATAAAATTTCTCAGAGCCAATTTGTAGATGATCAGTTTCATAATCATCTTCCCAAATCAACTTTTTCTGCCACATATATAACATGTGATCTAGACCTTTGTTTCGTATCACTCGTAAGGTACATTCACGTAAATTTGGTACGCGGCTGAAAATGTCCTCTCTGACATAATTTCCAATTTTGTCCATGGCAGCGAAACTTTTCCCCTGATATCTGATCATAAGGTTGTTAGTTTTGGCGAAATGATTTCTCCAATATTTCTCCATAAGAATGTCTATTCGTTTCATCAGATTTTCTTTGAAAACCTTTACTTCAACGATTCCCATGGAACATCTATTTTCCATCCTGACAAGCTCAGTAATACGATCAGCATCGGTGGAAGTGTCTTCGCTTACAAAGAAAAAGATGACAGTTTCATCCAGTTCCGGTTCTCTCATAGGAGATGATGAAAACTCTTTCTTCAAGTCAACAGGAGGAGATTCAACAACTAAGGCGGCAAAAGATTCAATGTATTTCTGTTGCTCATCATCGATTCCAGGACATGAAGAGACTTGACAAGAATCCGACATTCTATCCATGGGTCAACACAAGAAAGAAAATGATGGAAAAAGAAAAGGAAAAGGTCAACATTAACCCCAATTGGTCACTGTTCATATAACCAAAATGGTTGTTGCGTGAGGGCGAAAGAGAAACAGCCGAATGGATTTTTCTTTTTCTTCTTCCTCAAGTCAACAAAAAGAAAAGAACAAAAGTTACGAGAGGTCGAAGAAGAGGTCACTTAATATAGTTGAGAATAAATTAGTAAAAGAACAAATTGTTCCAATCTCAAAATGGCGATGATTAAATAAATGGAATAATAAATCAAAAGAAATAAATTTTAAAGACAGAGGAAGAAAAGAAAGAGAATCAAATGTAGACAGAAATGACCGTTAAATTTGAGAAAATGGAAAGAGAGGGAAAAATGAATTGTTCCAATTTAAATTAATTAATCTAAGGATCGATTAAAATTGAAATCGACCAACTAATTAAGATCACCGATAAGAGTTGATTGAATTTTTTTTCCTTCAACTTTTGAAATTTTCTTTTCTTTCATCAATAGATGGCGACAGTTTTTTTCGTCTTTGTTTTGTTTACCTTTTTTCTTGTTGTTGTCATTTCTTTAATTGATTGTTGTTGGAATTGGGTAATTGTTTCATTGGTTCAAGTTGTGATTCCATTTTTGTGACATGGCCTCTGCTACCCCACCACCTCCACCTCCACAGGTCCCACAACAACCAGCGCAACCACCTGGTCCACTTCAAGCAGCGTCGTTGAAGCAAATTCACTTTTTCAGTGGAAATCATAATGTGGAAACAATTAAGGGAATTCTTCACATTTATAAAGAGAATGAGAAAACTCCACTTGGTTTAGAAGACGAAAGTAAAGACATTGTTTGTATCCACTCGATACCAACTTCGATGACCATTCATGATCTGCTCCAATTCACTGGTCCTGTGAACAATAACATTGAACACATTCAAATTGTTCGTAACTCGAAGCCCAATCAATTCATGGCTTTGATCAAATTCTCGGATGAAAAGAGTTCAGATGAGTTTTACAAGAATTTCAATGGAGTTCAGTTCAATTCAATTGAACCGGAAATTTGTCATCTCGCTTATGTGGCTAAAGTTGAGACATTCAAAGAAACTTCCGATGGATGTTTACCTATTGTTGGCCACGAAGAACTACCGACCTGTGCAGTTTGTCTCGAAAAAATGGACGAATCGGTCGATGGAGTTTTGACAATTCTGTGTAATCACTCCTTCCATTGTGGGTGTTTAGACAAATGGGGTGACACAAGTTGTCCAGTTTGTCGTTACTGTCAAACACCAGAAAGTGTTCCTGAAAACAATTGTTTCGCCTGCAATTCACAAGAATCCTTGTGGATCTGTTTGATTTGTGGTCACATCGGATGTGGTCGGTATGTCGGAGGTCATGCCAAGTCTCACTATCTGGAGACTCAACATACTTTTGCTCTCGACTTGAGTATGGATAATCTAGTCTGGGATTATGCTGGAGATAATTATGTTCACCGATTAGTTCAAAACAAATCAGATGGTAAACCAGTGGCCGTTGAGTACGAAAATCGAGCCGAGGATAAGATTGATGCGGTCCAGTTGGAATACACTTACTTGCTGACCAATCAATTGGAAGCTCAGAGACATTTTTTCGAGGAGACGATTCGCCTTATTAAGAAAGAAGCCGAAGAAACAAGCAAAGAATTGATAGAAGAGAATAAACTTCTCTTGGAGGAGAAGAAACATTTCGAAGATGAGAACCAACGTTTACGCAAAGAAAAACAATCTCTGGAAAAGAAAGTGACCAATTTAAGTTCTCGATTGACGAAAGTTCTTCATGATGTTCAAGAGGAAAAAGAAATGAACAAATGTCTCTCTCAAAATCAAGATCTATGGTCTCAAAAGTTTCAATCGACGGAATCAACTTTGAAAACTTCCATCGACAAGAAGGACAAGGAAATCGAAGACCTTAAAGAACAAGTTAGAGATCTAATGTTCTTCGTAGAAGCTCAAAATAAACTGAAAGATGTTAAAGATGTTTCTCAAGATGAAATCGAAGAAAGTTCAATTGTGGTCGGTGCAGCATCACGATTGTCGAAAGCACGTCGAGCACGAAAAAGATGATCGAAATGCGAAACAATGTATCTCATATAAGTCACGATTCGAGCTTCTAATTTTGTTAAAGTATTACCATCATTTACTATTCGAATTTATCTGATTAATTAGTAATTATGTTCTAAAAAGAAAATTGAATATTTTTGATCTGCGAAGATTGAATTGAATTTTGTAAATATCAAAATCTTACCATCTCATATTCATTATTTAACTATTGACACAAATGTTTACATACATGAATGTATGTTATTCCCAAATAAAACGTATCAATTGTTGTACTTGATTGTGAACAAAATGCAATCGAAAAGCTTATAAAATGAATTTCCAATGATAATTATTACACAATATAATTCTCATCGATGATGTGACATCAGTTTCAATTGAACCTCCGAAAAATGGCCAAGAAAATTAGATCAACAAGGAAAATCCCATAGAGAATTTAAATTTTCGGAAATCACCAATTTCAATTTCCTTCTCGTTGACGTGAGCATTAATCCAGGTGACACAAAAACATTTCCAATGCCCGACCAAAGTTCATAACCTGTGACCAACATTTCCAACCCAAGAAGATTCAACACCTAAGGCGGCAAAAGATTCAAAGCATTTCACAGTTGCTCGTCGCCAATTCCAGAGAGAAAAGCAAATTCCTCTACCACAATCCAAGTGCGATCATCATCAAAGATAAACAATTAAATTTGCCCTGCTCATCCATGCCCACATTTTGGCAACTCTTCCGGTCCTTCAAGATGAACATGAAAATCAAACCAAAGACAAAAACAAAAACAAACCTCATCATCTGGTGAGAGATCACATGACCCTTGTGACAACGAGGCTGCGTGAGGATCACCAGTGATCATCTCCATTGGTTGGAACCCTTTTAACTCGAGAGTTGTTGTTAAATCTGTTTAATTGTGATTCTAATTGTGATCTATTATTATTGTTATATTTTATTAATTGTTTCTCTTCAGATTCTTACTCTCATCCAATTTTTGTTCAAATTCTCACATTTCTCCTTCTCTATTTTTTATTCTCTCAACAATCAAATTGGTAAGTCAATTTTTGTCATTTTCTCTTTTCCACTTTTTTTCTATTCTCCTTTCTGGTTTTCTCCACTGTTTTACTAACTTAATTTTCTTCTTCTTCTTCTTTGCCTTCGTTTATTTTTTCTTCTCTGCAGTGATAATAAATTCAACATGAGCTTGACGGTAAGATTTTGGTTTCTTCTTCTTCTTCTTCAATTTGGATTTTTAATATTCATTGTGTTTGTGATTATTGTGGATATTTGATGTTTGTTTTCTCTCTTTCTCTTATTAGGCTCTTCATTCCGCTTCTCAACTAAATTCTTCTCCTGAACATAAGAAAATGTCATCTGAAGATGATTCATCTTCTTCTCCTGAATATTGTCATTTTTTCGAAGGTACTGAAAAGCTTCTTGAAATTTGGTTTGATTGTACTGATTTACGTCAATCTGTTGATTCCAATGATCTTCGTTTGATACCTCGAACAGCTTTGGAATCCCTTTTGGCTCTTGTTAAATGTGAAATAATCAGTTTCAAGAAGAACGAGCTAATTGATGCTTATGTATTGTCAGAAAGCTCAATGTTTATCTCACGAAATCGATTCATATTGAAAACCTGTGGAACTACAACCCTATTTAATTGTATTGAACCTTTACTTTATTTGGTAAAAGAGTTTACTGGATTCGATAAGGTATTGGATATCTTTTATTCTCGTAAAAATTTTCTTCGACCTGAATTACAGCCCAAGCCTCACAGTTCTTTCGACAATGAAATTGAATATTTGGATAACTATTTTGAAGATAGTGCTTCTTACTGTATGGGCCGTGTTAATCGAGATTGCTGGTTCCTGTTCACTTTAAATCCAATGGAACCTGTTAAGATGATTGAAGGACCTGATCAAACCCTGGAAATTATGATGCAAAATTTAGATCCAAAGGTCATGAAGTTGTTCACTAGAGAGGTTTGCACAACCGCTAAAGAAGCAACTTCTCGATCTGGTATTGACAAGATTCTTCCTGGAATGATAATTGATGATTACCTATTCGAACCTTGTGGCTATTCCATGAATGGGCTCATCAAAGGTGTAAGTACAAATTGCAATTAAACATCTACATCAATCTCTTCAATCTAATTAATGATTTCTTTCTCTTTCCAGGGTTACTATATGACTATTCATATTACACCGGAACCCCATTTTTCATACGTTAGCTTTGAAACTAACTACCCTCAGGCCAACTACCATGATTTGCTTTCTCGATTACTTAAAATCTTCAATCCTGGAAAATTTACTTTAACTCTATTCGCTAATGAGGTCAGTTTCAATTTGATTAGCTAATTTAAGTATCTTTTTCCGTTATAACTGAATAACCACTCAATAATTTGATCCCACCATCCGATTAATTGATTATCACACATTCACTTAATGGTTTAAACTTTTCTCCATGTAAGATAATTATGATGATGATTAAGTCTCTAGATATGGGAATATCTTCAATTGTCATTATCATTTCCATTGTTTATGTAATAATAATGAGATAAAATATCATTATTGATGATACTTTATGTTATTGGTTATTATATTAACATGATAAAGATAATGAACAAATCGTAATTATATATTTAACTATCTTTCTTATAATGTCTCTCTCTCTCTCCTCTATCAATCAATTAAGTTGAAAAAAGCATTTAATACATTTTCGTTAATTACCATAGAAAAAGTTACCAATTAGTGATCACCCAATCAATTTAACCTTCAATAAGTTGATAAAGACTTGGTAATGAATTGTGATACATTAATATCTACATAATTGTTTCCATTTGATCTTAATTGATATTCATTGTTTCATCAATTCTCACCCAGCAATAACTACTTATAATCACTTTACTTGACAAACGTAGTCGAATATCATTTTTTTTATTATTCTTACAAGAGAATAATTTATTAATAATAGAAAGATAAAAATAATGTTTATCTTTTCAAGTTCAAAGGACAACAATTCTTATCACATTGGAAAAAAAATATTAATTACATTTGATTTGCAATTGTAATTTGATAACTTTCTTCTTGTTAACTTGATTAATTATATTTGATTTAATTTTCTCTTTTTTATTTTTATCTTTTAGCAGAGCTCAATTGCTGGTGAATGTGTTCAAGATTATCGTTCGTTAACTTTCAATGGATTCATGAGTAAAGAACTTCAATTCTGCCATTTCAAGAACTACGATCTAACTTATGGGCTATTCGCTAAAGCGCCAAGCTGAGAATTAGTTCTTAGGGTTTTTGGAAATATTTCGGACTGGGGGTAGGTTGCCCTCTTACACTTTAGCACCATTAGACAATTTAGTTTTCAATTTACTCTTAAAATTAATTAATTAATCAACCAATTTGCCTCATAAAGCAGCACATATATACACAAAAACAAGTCCAAAACTTTCCATAAGAAACCCTTTGAAATCTCCATATACATTTACTGACCATTTAACTGTCAGTCTTTATCAACAATTATCATCTATTAAATAATTGTAAAGTTAAATTAGTTCATTGATTTTTCGATTAAACTATACATAACAATACAAATGAATGATTAAAATTTAAATTCTTCCAATCATGATTGGCTGAATAAAACAATGATCAGATCAAAGTGGGGGTTTAATACAAGAAATTTGTCTAATTCGTTGCGGGACAGAAGATGATGACTGTCAGAAATAAGTAGAGAGACTATTATAGCCTCAGGGAATCAATGATTAATTACTTTGTATTCCTTTCGAATGGTACATTTCCATAGACAATGGACAACACCTTCTCGAAAAGTTCTTAATATTTTTTTTCACAATTTCCACTGACCGATTCTCGTCTTGTGTTAATAGCAAATCATTTAATCAATTCATTGGAAAAAGAAATAATTTAATGATTAATTTAAAATTTAATCGGAACAAATTTATTCACAATATAAGTTCGAGAGGTAATTATCCTAAGATATACTTTCGATTCAATCATGGTAAATTTGTTTCAAGTTTCATCGAAACTGAATGAAATTTCGAGGATCAAACTGTGATGAAGCTGATTAGTTGGAAATCCAAGTAATTATTATGTTGAATAATTTGATAACCGGAGTTAAACTAACATGATTGATATTATTTTACTATTTCTAGGTGGTGATGTTCATTTATGATGATTCGGTGGTGTCTTCGGCTTCAGGTTTGAATGGCTTTCGGAATTGATTGAAGAAATCAGCGAAAGCGTTTTTGAATCCAGATAAAGCTTGTTGAGCTTGTTCTTGGAGGTTCTTGTTGAATTCTGTGTGAGATAAAGGAAACGGAAATAAGTCAATCAACTGGAGCCACGAATCAGATCTATCACATGTACATATGTAATATGTTTTCTACTCACTTTGGAAATCTTCAATACTTCGCTTTGAGACTGAAACTTCAGTTGAATCTTCAACTTGTTGACTTGGTTTCTTTCCGAGTAATTGAGCTAAAGCGTCTTTAAGGTGTTGGAAAGCAGCTTGGGTCTTTTCTTGAGCGATTTGACCGAATTCTGTTTCGAGGGGAAAATAACCGATTAATATTTTCTTTCGAGAATGGTCATTATTGTGATAACTTACGTTTAAGACTTTCAGAAACATCTCGTTTGGTGACAGTTTCGGATGATTGGTCGTCTATCGAATAAGAGAATATTTGTCAATTTATTTTCTCTCTTAATTCTTGTTGATCATTGCAATCGACTTACGGTTGAATCCTCCTTTGAATTGTTCGAAAAGCTCTTGGAGTTGTTTAAGAGCGGCTTGGAGTTTTTCTTGACCAGCGGATGCGAGTTCTGATTGAATAAAATAGATTCGATTATTTTTTTATTCTATTGAATGAAAAATAGGATTTAAAGAAAAACTTACTTTGTAAATCTTCAGAAACGTCTCGTTTGGAAACGGCCTTTTCGGTTGAGGTTTCAGCGGAAGCACCACCGTCTGATCACATGAAAAAGATAGAAGGGATTAGGTTAGATCGATTTAACGAAATTGGCTTCTAAAGATTTTGTTCTTACTCTTGAATGAGTTGAAAAGGTCTTGGAGTTGTTTGAGAGCTTCTTGAGCTCTTTGTTTTCCCTCTTCAGCGAATTCTAAATGATTAATTGAATATTAGCAAGAATTATTGTAGTTTTTATCTTCACGATTGGTGACGAATGGTTATGAATGTTCAATTACTCTTAAGATCCTCGGCAAGATCTCGCTTTCGTCGACCTTCAAAAGCCATTTCGGAGAGGATCTTCATGAGAGTTTGAGCGAAAGCAGCGGGATCACCAAGTTGGGTCAAGAGCTGGAGTGGGTTAGTGGTTTGTCTGGTAGTGGACTTTTCGTCTCCCGAAGCACCGGCTTCTAATCAGGTGAAAAGGATAAAAGGGATTAGGTTACATCAATTTAACGGAGTTTGGCTCTGAAAATTTTCTTCTTACTCTTTTGTGAGTTGAAAAAGTCTAGGAGTTGTTTACCAAGTTCGATTGGATTATTGAAATCTGAAAGAAGGAATTAGATTAGGTTGAATATATGGAATTCAAATCAGAAGAGTTTACTCTTACTTTTGACTGTGTTGAAAAAGTCTTGAGCTTGTTTAGCGAATCCGAGTGGGTTATCGGGTAGTTTGAAATCGGTCTTGGATAAGGCATCTTGGACCTTTTTGCCGAAATCTTCTCCGAAATCTGAACATAAAATCAAACGAAAATGATGAAGAAACTCGAGGAAAAAAGGCGAGAGGATGAATGTTCAAAATTTCGAAACTTACGTCCTAAGTTTTTCAAAGCTTCTTGAGACTTGTTTTGCAAATCATCGAAGAAGTTTCGTTTAACCAAGGTAGATGCAGAAGCAACTACAGAGAGAAAGGAAAAAAAGAGAATAAAATATAAAAGTTGTCGAAATTATCGAAATTAGAAAATCAATTAGATCAAAAGAGTCGAACAATTAACTTACCTCCTAAAAAGCAAATAGCAAGAACGATTGAGAGACGCATCTTTAGAATAACTGTTGATGGACTAAGTGATTTTCTCTATCAAATGTTATCGTTTTTATATCTTTTCCTGATCAAACCTTTTCAATACTTTTTCAACAAGACAGAAGTTTAGATTTTGTTTTCGATTGTTTTAAATTAATTGATAGACGTGTTGACAGAATTCATCTCATAAACACCTTTGGCAGATCTTCAGTATTTTCTATGGCCTTGACGAAAAGTTTATGAGTACTTGGAAATAATTACGAATTTGAGAATTTAGTTGATAAAATAAACGTCAACTATCAACTTCTAAACGTCAGCTGGAGACGGAGACTGGTCTTCTGCCTTCAGTCGTTAATTGCTGAGTTCGAACTTGAAAAAATTTTCTAACTTTGCGCGAGAATATTATCGATCCAAGTTGACTGTTTCGACGAAGACAAACAGTGGACAGTTCGTCGAGCTCCGTGGAAATTATTCCAACAAATGAGAGATTTATTTTCTCTTTTCGCGTCCTTGTGCTGTTATGACTTTTTTTAATCGATCGAAAATTCAAATTCTTGTTCTATTGTTTCCGAACAATTTTGACTTGGAAAACTCAGTAAATGATTTATACAAAATTCTGTAGATTTATATCATCTTATTGCACTTTATTTGAGGTAAAATAAAGGTTTATTATCGTCAATTTTACATGATCAGTCGATTAATTGTTACTTTTAGAGGAGAAAATTAATTTGCCTGATTAAAGGTTGTCAAAGTTTCTTTGACTTATTGGAATGAAGATGATGAAAATGAAGATGAGAGAAAGAAGAGAATAGGCTGAAAGAGAACACGAGAAAACAAGGTGATAAAATTAGTTAGTTAAAGGAGAAAAATTATCAAGATTATGATGATGATTATTCGTCAGAATCTCATGTTTTCCAATAAGCCTAATTGTCGATTAAATTTCTAATGATGATTCGTCCACATGTTCAATTCCATTGTTAATTAATTTACAATTGACACTTATGAGTGGATGGAGATTGATAATTTGATGGTTGACAAGTGATCCTTGTTAGTGTGTTTGTATGTCTCAGTTTCGAGTTCAAGTTTTACATGATGATAATGACGATGGATAATAATACAATGGAGTAGATTTATGATTTCGAAGTCAAGGTGAAATTGATGCAGGAAAGTGAGAGAATAGAAAAAGAAAAAATTTCTCAAAGTGAGGCATTAGTCCCAAAATTCACCGTCCAAGTTCAATTTCTCGAATTGTTTACAAATATCATTTCCAGTCTTGTAACTTTCAACTTCTTTTTCCAGGGCAGCGGTCAAATTTTTCGTCTCTAAATCATGAAATATGACGGCTTGCAAGGCCAAGGAACGGAGACTCATCGCTTAATATGAACCAAGAGAGAGAGAGAGAGAGAGAGAGAGAGATAAATTGATTTTGATTGTAAAAGAAATGAAAAGAGAAAATATTGAGAATAATTAAAAAATCAAGCAAACTTACCTGTATCAATCACAAATAGATCACAAAGCTCCATCAGATGATGTACTTCAGAATTTGAAGCTTGAGGTAATGGACTTTAATGAGAAGAGTAAATAAAATCATGACAGTTAATTTTTAATTAATAATCAAAATCAAAACAAATGTATCAAAAATTGGATGTACTTGTTGGCAACTTGATCACCTTGACTCAATTTTTCCCTCTTCCTGAATTCAATCCTTGTCATTTTCACTAATAGCTTAATGCTTCTAATCAAGTTCCAACTCTCAACAGGTAACTAATATACAAAGGAAGAGCAATCAATGGACCTAACTGATTAATGACCATGTTTAAAGTTGTTTTGATAATCTTATTACTCAATTGTTACCTTGGACAATGTTTATAATCACTGAATGATTTAAGATCACATTAAAACCTATCATATTAAATTAGTAATCGTGTGTCAAGTTAACTGTCACTGGTTAAAATTTGACAATATGAGAGATCAATTAATGACTAGTGAGATGTGTACTAAACGCTTAACTAGGGGGTCTAAATGGTAATATCTTAAGTGCTTAGAAAAACACACAATTAGAAGGAGATATTTAAATGGTCATCTTAATTTGCTTACCAACTTCCTCCAAATATGTAAAGAAATTGACCAACGGAAACACAACAGTGTCTACGACGTGGACAAGGTAAAGAGCCACCATGTACATTTAGTTTAACCCATTTGTAAGTTGCTGGATCGAACATGATAAAATCGTTGAAATGTTCATTGGAAATATCATTATAACCACCAAAGATAATCATCTTATTATTAACAACAACCGCTGAATGGCTTCTTCGTCCGTGAGGCTTAAATCCATTGATTACTCGAAGTGAACAAACCATTTCCTTGAGATCTAATTCCAATACATTATTATCATAAAACGGAGATGAGTAAGATCGCCCACCGAATAAGTAAATTTTATCACAGATTGTAATCGCTGTTAGAAAGTCTCTTTTAAGTATATCAGATGTTAATCGCCATAAACAGGTCCAAGTGAGAGTTTTCAGTTCCAGGGCATAAACCATATCGGAAAAATCTTGTTTCTCTTCCTCGAAACCACCAAAAATGTACATGTAACCTTGCGATATACAAGCAGCGTGTCCATCTCGTGCTCCTGTTGAAATAATTGAAAAGAGGACGAAGAAGAAGAAAAAATCAAACATCATTAACATCAAACTTAAGATTCACATAGAAGGAAAATTTTCTCGGCTAATCAACACGTACCAGGAGTAGAACCAGAAACGGAAGGAGCAGACCATTTACGGGTCAGAGTATCGAATAGAAAAACTCGATTACAAGCTTCTTCTTCCCTTCGGCCTCCCCATAGATAGACAATATTATCTTGAGCTACAGCGGTGTGTCCATATCTTTTGAAAGGAACATTGGAAGAACGTCCTAGAAAAGGAGAGAAAGAGAATTGAATTAAAATCATATGAGAAAAATATGTAAACCTTTGTAAGAGCAAATTGATTAATACCTGTATCAGAATATTGAAGTTCTTTCCATCTTAATGTAACCGTATTCAGGGTGAAAACATCTATGGGCCTTTCAATGGAATAATCTTCAAAGCCCATGTAACCACCGAAACTGTAAATGATCCCATCAACCGCAACAGCAGCATGATTAACTCTTTTGGGTCCACCCTCAAGTCTGGTTAAGATCAACATCAATGATTTGGATGATAGAGAGATAAACAAACAATATAATATCAAAGGTAAATCCACACACAGGAGCAATTAAACCGTTGAAAGTGTCCAGTTAATTTCAAGATGACCAGTAATTATAAAGATAATAAACTGATAGGAAAAAGAAATGAATTTGTTGATATGAAATTTGATTGAGTATTAGTGAAGATACAAGATGAAAACACGAAACAAATGATTAATAAATTGATTGTTCCTTTGTTCCTAGTGAACAAAAAGCCAACATGAGAGAGAGATTAATGTTGATTTGTTGGTTTAAATTAACTTTTCAGCCTCTAACTGGTGAATTTACGTGTTTCTTGAGATTATTACAGGTGATAACATGAGATTCCCATGTAACCCTGAAACCATGAACACTAAACAGAACAAGGAAAAAAAATCCAAATAGGAATTAGTGGTTTTACCAAATCAAAACAAACCAAGAAATTTATATATAGAGGCAAATTTGGAACAGAGATAATTAGTGAACACAAAGAACTAAACTGATGATGAAGATGATGATGATGATGATGATGAGAATGATGAGAATGTAAGAAGAAGAAGAAGAAGAAGAAAAGATTGAATAATAAGGATAATCTCTTAATCTTTAATAAGAAAACGAGAAAACGAGAAAATAAACAAAGAAAAACATATAATCATCTCTGGTAAACTTACTAAATAAAATCGATGGAAATTGTTGACGACAATAGATTATTGTAATTGATACTTGATTCTATTGTCATTTCAGAGAAAGTAAATTAAAAATTAATTTACTAATCAGTGGGGAAAATGTTGAAAGTCACAGAGATTATGAGGTTAGATTGTTGATCTTTTCAAGATAGAAAATGAGAAAACTCAGTCAGCTGATTTTCTGGCTCATGATTAACTCATCGGTTTACTCACCATAGAAAATGTTGATTTGTTTTCCTTTTCTCGTTAAATTAGTTAATCACAATTACTCGTCGAAAATTTAATCACCAATCAATCTGTTGATTAACTGTCGTTAACATCCATGTAATGGAAAACTGTTGTACAAACAATTGGTTAATGTTTCGTTTTCGTAATCAACTAATTACAAATTTGTCTTTTCTCTCAAGTGACAATAATTAGTTGATTTGGAAAAGAGAAATTTTTTTTTCTATTCTTGATTGTATTCAATGGAATTCATGTGAATTTGTTGATTGTTGTTGATTTTTTGCTTTTCAATCTATTTGCCAAGTTTATGTTCATTTGATTACCTGCCAACTATTAGATTGTTAATCAACTGATTCCTCTCTAAGTTAACTCTCAGGCTAATTAGATGAAATTTACAATTGAAATGAAAAAAATTCAAATGATACAAGTGATAATATTAGATGTTGATTAATATTTTTGGCCTTTGGAATTAATATAATTAAGGAAACGATTGGGTTTCCATTACATTGATACACAAGATACAAGTCGATTTAGGTTTGTGATTTATACAAATGAAATTGTTGATTGTGATCGAGTTGATTAAAAGTTGATGGAGAGAAAAAAAATATTAATTAACATTTAGAGTTTGTGTTAAATTTTGCCACTTTGATATTTGATCATCTTCGGATTATCGTTGAGATTCTGGTATTATTATTACCACCTCTTGCCATTGATTGTTGATGATTTCGATTCTGTTGATTTGGTCTATTTCCAATTGTCGATTGATTCTTATTCTTGGGTACTGGTGACTTAGGTCGAAGGCTTTCAATTTTATCAGTTGATCCAGTTAAATGACTATTAGGGGCTTCGAAATTTTTTAAATATTTTTCACCATTAAAGTTACTATTTGTCAATCCGGGACCTACGGTGAACCAACCTGAATATAAACAATACAAGAATAACAATCAATCGTTAGTTTGAATGGTGAATTTTTGTTTGTCGAATATATTATTTCGTATTCACAGTGATAAGTATTTGGACGAATATTATTTACCAGGTCTAATTGTAGTGTCACGGCCGAAAACGTGTAATCTTCTTCGACCAAGGCAAAAATGTTCAATTATGTGGAAAATTTCCTCAGGTTTCTCGATGGAACCATATTCTGGTTCTTCGCTTATTATCAAATCAATATCGACATTGGCATGAATAAAATCTCCATCGGTACTTCGTCGAACTGTCCCTTTGATTCCCATTAGACAATGTTCTTTTGTTCTTTGGCAGATTGCATTTGGTTCTAGATTTTTAGAAAATCCGGGATTTTTAATGTTCGTTTTAATCCAGCAAATATCTTCACACCTCCGGAAGCCCCATTTCCGTAGGCAATGTCGTCCCAAATCAAGGCCTTCACTTGATCCACACCAGAGAAAAACGAAACTCCTTTGAGCGGCAACATCTTCAATACATAATTTCTCAATCTCTTCCCAATTCCAAAAGTCGATATTAGTGGCACCTCGGGTTCGTTGATACTCTTCTAAAGGAGGTTCGATTAGTATAACATCAAATTTACACTTTAATTCTTTTAAAGGTAACTCTCGCAGATCACATTTAAGGTACATTGGTTTGGTGTTCGTTTCACGGATTCGCTCATCTTTCTTGCGAATTAAATCTTTCAATTTGGGATATTCATCAAAACGCTCAGCAAGACCAACATCTCGAATATAATTTTGAGGCCTTTGACCAGTGTCCACAAAATGTTGACAATAATCATTGTGTGGATTAGCACTTTGAGTACCCTGAGAAAATGAACAAAAACAAATTCATAAGGAAAAATGAAAGTTTTTTTTTCTTTCCTTCCCACTAATTAACTGATTAAATGCTTACCTTTGAGAAGATGCTTGAATCTGTATAAATCGGTGCGAGTTCCCGAGAAGATCCATTTTCTGATGAGTTACCGTTCTCGTTTTTATTGAAACAATCACTGGGATCACGATCATTGTCAGTACCAAGAAGAGATCGTAATTGTGATGGATCACAACGGAAAATTTTACAAAGAAGATTTCGTCTTAATTTAGATTGTTTTTTCATCTTGTTCTTTAAAGATTTAATCTGTGGATCATTTTTGTTACCATCATCTAGACAATCCTTTACATCAGTTTCTTGGACCATTTTAACAATTAGGTGAAGATTTGACACTTCTCACTTAATCACAATCACAATTTAACAATAAATCTATTGACTGGAAATCCATTCACAATATAACATATGAGCTAATTACAAAAAGAAGAGAAGAAAAATTTCAAACCAAATTAAAATCCTAATCGAAAACAATCAAAATTCACCAAAGAGAGGAAGAAGTTAAGAATACAATTACTTACCAATAAATTGAATAATTATCATACAATCAAGTGGACGAAAATACTAACCTTTGATAAACATAATTAAAGATCAATCAATGACCAATTTCACTAAAAATTTAGATCAAATTCTGACCACAATTAATCAGAATAGAAGAAAAAAATTTTCAATATTGAATTATGAAGAATTGATGTAAACACAAATTACTGATTCCAAATGAGTGAATTTAAAAGAACTGGTGATTGAATAGAATCAAATATAAACTGAATGGGAGTTAATTAACTTAATTGTTTAAGATGAAAATGGAATAGAAAACAAAATGATAATTAAAACCAAAGAGATGACAGAAAATGAGTGAAGAAATTTTTCCAAACAAATGGAAACACATGTTAACTGTAAGTTCTCGTAGAATAGCCAATCGCTATTCTCACTACCGACAATCAGAATTTGAGAAAAAAAAAGTTAATCATCAAAGTAGCAATTTGAATCCGTGAGAATTTTTTTGTCTAATTAGATTGATTAGCAAAAATTTTAATCTCTCTTTAACTTCTCAAATTGGTTAGATTATTTGAGACTATCAATTGTAATTATAGTTAATAAATATAATAGAAAATGTGAAAGTTAATCATTTCATCAATTTCCAGATTATTAAAAGGAGACAATTAATTATCTCTTGTTGGGATAATAAATTACCAGAAAAATATGATAATCTTAATTAGTTAATGGTTATATTATAGTGATGTAAATGATTTTTACCCAAACAATTAAACTAAATAGTTTTGTATCTTCTTCAATATTTCTTGATTAACAATTGATAAATTTTTGAAAAAAATCTTCATCATCATATATGAATTAAGATTCTGTGAATTTTTCATTTGTAATATTGAAATTTTAAAATAAGATGCTCACTAAATGATTTAGTTAAGTGGATTAACTTGATCAAATAAGAATAGAATAGTTTTCTTCATTAATTACTACAAATCAGAATGATAATTATCTTGTACTCTTGTGGTGGGTGTGAGTTTGGGTTTCAACTGAATTTCAATTTATCGGAAAATTTCATCATCTTTTTCTTGTTTATACTTTTTAACCTCTGCAAGTGATAAAAGGGAAATACAGCTAATCCAGTAGATAGATGGTAACATAATCCCGAGTAAGTTACTAAAGTTTCATTGAAAATCTTGACAAGAACCTAATCAGTTGCAAGATTAACTACCGACCCCATGGTTGCTTGATTCATGAAATGCAATTGATATTTTATTTCTGTTTTTATTATAGTTTATCTTATCGCGTGGATCAAGTTGATACCAAAATTATGATAGTTCACGAGTTTACTTTAGTTGATTTGTTTCTCTTGAAACTGAGCTATTATTGCATCGTAATAATTTCAACGCTTTTTGTTTCTTTGGGATTTAATACAACTTTCTTTTCTCTATCTAAAGTTGGTCCAGTATCGCCTCGTCAATTTTTTGTATATTAGATAATCGCTAGTTTACAGCATCCAGAATCTCTACAGGAGTCAAAGAGGTAGTGGGTTGATAAAAGTTCTGCAGTTTTCAACCCAAAAACTTAGAACTTTTAACCCATATCGAATTCTCTTCTTTTTTTCAGACTAAATTCTTAAAATTTTAACTTCCTCTTGAACAAGGAAAACTTCAGCCGAAGTCGAATCGATCGATTTTATCGATTTTCAGCAAAAAAGGAGTCTTAATTTTTCTCCTTTCTCTCTCTCTCTCTCTCTCTCTCTCTCTTCCAATTTCTTTTTCTTTTTCTCTAATCAGAAATATAAAATATTAATAACAATGATAAAAGAGGGCCTTCATTTCACACTATTCGTGCGACGATTGAACTCTGTTAACTACAGGGGAGTACTGCAGTTCCTCCGAAGACGAAAGTTGTACCAGATAATTTAGAGAAGGGAAATTACAATAAGTAATAAGTTTGAATTACAAATAATTTGGTGAAGATGAGTAAAAATTTACAAATTGGATTAATTGATTGATGGTTCAGAATTTGATTATCCAAAGATCCAATTTGATGGTTGTAAATATTAATATGTACCAAAGGTTGAGATGTGAAAATTATTTCACATTTATAATCAAGATAACTGTTCTCACACTTTAAAAGATTGAAATTCTACAGGGCTATTCAGCTATTTTCGCCGATGTACTTTGCTTTTCTCACATCATACCTAATGAGGCCTTCACTTTCATCTCCAGTCTCAGTCTAATTATCCACTTTCGGACAAAATTACATTATAATCTATGGGAAATTTGGTCTGCAAATGAATAAAACTTTTCATAGTTTGTTTGATGAATTTCATGCATTTCTGAAATTTCAACGAAGATCATTTAAGGAATGATCTTTTTTAGACCAAATCTAAGCTAAGCTCGATGAACGATAAGATTAGTTTGTTATTAATCACATCTAAAACGATTAATCGTATGAGCTTCAGATAATTATTAGGTAAAAATGGTAAATTGTCCTTCACGTATCATGATTAATATGGAAAGGAATATGGAAAACAAGACAAAACTTTTGTATCATATTAGAGCTACAAGAAGATTAGAGTATGCTGTAAGATTTAATCAACTAATACTTTAATTATTCTGAATTAGTCTAAAAACGAGTAAAGTTCTTATTCTGCCTATGAATTTGCGCTAAATGCCGAATCCTGATTAAGTTAATCAATACAGAAAGAGACAAAAACTAATGCACTTGAAATCCATAACAATATATAAACAAATTAATTTTCATTCGACGAGTTACAAGTTGATTAGGTGTTGAATTACCTTTTTCTTGTTAACCTAATAGTTCAACTTTAGTCGCTTATTATTATCCATGAATAAGTTCTGTTATTAAACTAAAGTTGAATAACGATTCTCTAGAGACGAAGTTAGAAGTTCGTGAAAAAAGTCATCGAAGTAAACGACAATGGGGAAAGTGAATTCATTGATTGCTACATTGAAAGATTTTCATTTGGAATTTTTTTACCTTCTCTTCATGTTTGCTCTAACGGTACAATCGACGGTCGTAACTCAATTGATAGAAGATAAAATTTGCTTGAATCGATTTGGTTTCACTTTGGATGATTGTCTTAACAATAAATCTTCTAATAAAACTTTAGTTCTAAAAGAGGCCTCATTACTTTCCAGTTATCGTTCAATTCTTGGTAAACTTCCCGCTATCGCTACAACCCTGTTCGTAGGTTCGTGGATCAACAATTATATCAATCACTTGAAGTTCATCATTCTCATGCCATGTATTTCAATGATAATACAAATTCTTGTTCTTATTGGTAATGCTGTTTACTTTGAGCTTGGTAAGTTTATTGTACGAAGAAAATAGATTAGATTGTTGGACATTTCGACTTTTTTTCTCGTTTAGATCCGAAAACTGTATTAGTTGTTGACCTTTTACCTTGGATATTTGGTACAATCCGAAATACATTTATGGCCCTTCAAACTTACGTTGTATTGACTAATCCACCAGAGAAACGGATTATTAAATTTGCTTCCATTGATGTTGCCAGTTTAATGGGTAAAGTTTCAAAGAAGTTATCAAAATTAAGTTGATTTACTTATTGTTTTCATTCAACAATTAGGTTCAGTTGCTGGTCAGTATTGTGGAGGTTGGATTCTTGACCAGAAACCTTGGTTCCCTCATCAAGTGCATAATTATCTCGGAGTTTTTATAATATCATTAATATTTAAACTGATTGCGATTTGTTTTTTCGCTTTCAAAGTACCAACAGTTTATAAATTAAACGAAAAAAGAACAAAGAAAAATCCTGATCACGCTAATCACAATCTTCCATATAAGACTCAGAAATCGGTGGAAAGTGCAGTTTCCGAGGAAAACGTTGGTCCAATCGCTGAATTTATATCCAAAGTATTTTCACTTGAAGCTCTTAAAAAACTTTTCAGTACTTTGACTAGACCTCGAACTGAAGGTCGAAGGGGAGTTTTATTCATACTGATAATGTCAGATATTTTACTTAGTATCGATTTCTCATTTGATAACACAACATCCTTTCAATTCGCCCAAAAGGCTTATGGTTGGTCGAATTATCAATATTCACTTTATCAATCGATCTTAACAGCTTTTCCCGCTCTTTTACAATCATTTGGACCCAGAATTCTGATTGAAAAACTTGGTGCATCTGATACAACCCTCGGGTTGATAGCTATCACTTCTCATGCTGCTCAACAAATTATCGTTGGCTCATGGTTATCAACTGAAGGTTATTTCATAGCTTGGACGGTTGGATGTCTTTACATTTTTATGGATTCAGCAACCAGATCACTTCTCTGTAACGTTGTCGAGCAAGATGAAGTTGGTGGTGTCTTTTGTTTATTGTCCGTATTTGGGTCGATAGCTACTCTTGGAACCGATTGGGTTCTTGTCAAGATTTTCAATGCAACTTTAGCCACCTATCCGGGATTGTGTAACCATCTTTTTGCTGGATTGGCGATATTTCCCTTCAGCATTTTCCTATGGATTAAATTGCGCAGGCCTCATCTTTCAGGTAGTAATCTGGGTGCAAAGGATGATCAAGAAAAAGATGATTCGATTGTCAGCAAAAACTGAAATCTCGATAGTAAAACATTTGGATAATTGTCATTATCATCGAGCTCAATGATTTATTTCGATTGTAATTGCGACTACATTGTTTGCCAAGTTCTAGTAGTAAATCGAAATCAATTTGGTTCTATCAATAACTAAGATCGGCAAAGAAAGTTAATGTAAAATTTTTGCTTCTTTTATATAAATTAATAAACAACGATTGTCCCTCGTTTTCGCAATATTTCAGGTCAACGTTGAAGTTAATCATTTTGTTTTGTAAATTAGCACTTATTCAGGTTAAAATTGTTCAAGAATTGCAATTAATGGATTTGGTTGAGTTTGTTACTGGTCTCAATGAGGTTTGGACATTTTTGGTTTGGTTTGGTTAGATACGGTTAGACTTAGTTAGGTGTGAGAAGTAAACTTAATTAATTATAACAATTAGTGGCTTGAAATATTGCAAAAACGAGGGACAGTCCAAATTGAATGTGGGGATGATTAAGTTAATTATGATTCAATTTGAATCTTGAATCAAGTTTAAATTTCACAGAAACAGTTGAATAATCAAAGGATTATCAGATACTCGTATACATGTTTGTATAAAGGGTGAATCAAATGTGAAAATTAACAATTATTAATAACTAATATTAATCATCGAGAAAATAGATTTTGAAATTAAGAAATTTTTTTAGAAAAATTAACTAAGTTTCCATAGACTCAATGTTAAAAAAGCTAATTTTTTATCAATTTTTCTGAAAAAATGTCAAAATTTCAAAATCTATTTTCTCGATGATTATTATTAGTTTTTCAGAAAAAGATGATAATTGTGATAAGTTAGTGATTGTTTGGTACTGTAATGATTTGTACTAAAACGATTGAATTGATAAATTTGTGTTACCCGGTAATATCATTTTACTGCTAATTACTTTATATCAAATTGATTACTAGACTAATCTAAATATCATTTGGAAGAGTTGAAGAAGAGCAAAATGTAATAAATAAAGAAACTTAAGTTCCTTTTCCGATCTTTATTACAATTTAATCAATTCGAAGTTGCAACTTAAGTCAAGAATGATAATTATCTTGTACTCTTGTTATTCTCATAGGTGTTGTTTGAATAACAAGAACCCAACCGGTTCCAAGAGTAACTATTGACCAAAATAGAGACAATAAACTAAAAATATCACCCACATCTTACAGAGAAACGATCTGATCGGAAAAGACATCCAGCTATCGAAGCTGCAAAACATCAATTGTCACCCAAAGTTAATGGGACTCATGTCGCTTTCAACGAAATTTTTTCTTCTACACTTTTAAAATATAATATCTAACAATATTATTCATAAGATTAAACATAAAAGAGAAATTAAATGGTATCTTAGTAGATAAAACACCGATAAGTTTCCAGGAGATCAAAAAAACGTGAGCTAATTAAGAATTTAACAATTCAGCCAATAGATGGTAATGCAACTATTTTTCAATTTCTCCCTGATATATAACAGGAATTGCTAGGTAATAATTTTATAAGTTTTCTCGATTTTTGATTCTTGCGAAAACAATTAAGCTTTCATTTTGAAGGGTAAAATTTGGGATTTAATGGTTTTAACTGAAAAGTATAGCTAAAGCTGATTTCCTATCAGAAGATTTCACTAGGCCTTCACAATTTTCCTAGTGTTGACAGTTTCGTATACTGGATCCCGTAAAGTCTTCCAAGTATCACCGAAATCACCAGGGAATTCACAAAGTTCTTAATGCTTAATGTAATTTTATTAAAATAAGGGAACTGAATACCATTAGGTAAAGGGTTAACATAAGTGGGGGGAGAACACAAATAATAGAAAATTCTTATAAGAGAAAAACCTTAGGAAACTTGAGTTAATTCAATTTCAATTGAACGTTGAGCATGTAATTGTTAAGTTTGTGACAGATTCATCTGACTTGTACTTACACCAAATTAACACTCACTCTATTTCATATTACCTTTAGGTTTTTATACAAAATTATTATTAACTGAAAATCAAAGATAAGATTAAAAAAGCTAATTGCTAGACAATAGCTTTAAGAAGCAAAAGATACAATTGTCTCAATAGAGTTGAACTATTAGTTTAACCGTTGAGAACAATTTGATTAACTTGGTTAATCTAAAGATTAACACAAATTTGTCTTTTGATTAAACTCTATGATTAATCTAATCAAGACTTTTTGTCTCTTTAGAGTTTGATTACAATCTTAATTTTAACGGAAATTTTAGATAAATGAAAATTATAAAAAGAAATTAAAAAGTTTTAAGAAAATTATTAAAATGATGAATATGCCTTAAGGTACCAATTCCTAAAGGATGATCAATGTTCATGAGGGTTAGTTTTTCTACCTAACACTTCCTCGGGTTTATGATGAAGATTTCTCTCATGAATCATTGTAAGGCTTTGGTGGATTTTCCTTAAGGGTAGGTGATGGCGAGGGGCTTATGAATCGGTTCCTCAATGAAATTTTCAACAATTTGAATTTCAAAGTCACTTGGAATCGGAGTTTCTTTTCCATCCTCGTCCGGGTAGGCACATCGTTCGTTGAAACTTGGGGTTTCTCTTTTTACTGGCCTTAGTCCATAGTAATGCCAATTTTCAGGCCACTCTGCTTGATTTTCTTTGACTCTTTTATCGTAAATGAATAAGAGACGAGACACTTTAGTGTTATTACAGGTGACGATAGCATTAGCGAAATGGATTCCATCTTCTATGAAGTGGCACTTAGACTCTATCTCCTGCCAAAAGGCCATGTAGAGCTGCATACTGACGATGGCTTCAACTCCAGGGGAATGAATTTCATTCTGGATGGTATATCCTTTGAATACGAGAAAGGCTACAAGTGATAAGGAACAAGCACTTTCCCTATAGGGTGAAAATATTGAGTTATCTCGCATCTTAGGCTTGAGAACGTCAATTTCAGGGAAACTTAGGCCAAGGGCTCTAAGCATGTTGATCAGTCCAGATCCAACTAACTGTTTGCACGAAGCAAGATACTGGATCACTTGGTCTCGAACTGATATGAGACTTGCTATGGCGAATGTCCAATCGAGTAAGACCATGATGAGGTGTCCATGAAATCAATTTTGAATATCTGACGAAAGTCGTAGATGATTTCTTGACGACCATTGACTATAATCACCCAAACTGGTCTGCAAACTGCTTTGTTTCCAATGAAACCAGATTCGTTATAGCGAGGTTCAATTACTCGACAATAGGCCATATGCATTGAGAACACTAATTCAGGGTTGTCATGTTTAGTTGTATTCTCTAGAATCTTTTCCATGATAAGTTCATCTTTCATCATTGGAAGCTTGATCACTGATTTTGAGTGAAAGATTTCTAAACCTTCAGCTTTCGGGTTTCTTTTGTTGATAGACGGATGATGATGATGATGATGAGGTTTTGACTTTTCCATTTTTGGTTGAAATCGATCTAATGATCTTAACGATGGGAAAAGTTTATTTATTTCGCTTATTAAAACTTTTTGTTCTTCAGCTGATAAAAGCGAAATTGGGTCAATACGAACAAAAGGTTGTTCCATGAATTTGTTTTCTTTAGAAATATCTTGATTCCTTGGGTGTCGATGAGGTTTACTTTGGCGATAGCTAACCATTCAGCTGATTTCTTAAGAGGTAACCAGGAATTGTATTCCAGGTGATGGTAGCAGCGAATAAATTGATTCAGTTCAGGTAGTTTACCTATGACAGGTGGAAATCCAATTTCTTGAAGGAACTGTTCGTGTTCAGCAATCAAGACGGATCACTAACTCTTTGTAACTTGACCAATAGTTACCGATTCGAGGCGAAATTTCTAATGGCTTGAGGAGTTAACTTGGGATCTTCAGGGTTGTTTTCCTTTAGGTAAGTTAGGAAAGCAAATTCTTTAAAGATGTCTTGCCATCTAGCTGCTTGAGAGTCGTAAGATTTTGGGATGTTTGGAATTTCAGCTATTGCTGCCTTTAGGTGAGACGGGAGAGTTGAAGTAATTTTTCTTGGTTCTTGACTGATTTGTTGACGAGTTTCACCATGTCGAAAATCTTTATTCAATTCGAACTCGTAATCATCGTCAAAAAGACCACGACGACAATTGTCTTCATGTCTCGAAAATTCATTTGGCTTTAGCTTCTTTCCACAGAGTTGACGACGACAAATAAATTCAGCAGAATAATATTTAGTCATAGCTTCAGATTTTTCAATCTTACCAATCGAGGGATAATCTGCATGAGGGGCATGTTTGATGATGCATGAGCCGATGATACAAATGAATTGGTGAGATGATGTTGCTGGGGTGAACTTTAGTTCAATTATCAATTTGGCTAACCATTGATAACATTTAAAACAGTACAATTGATTACAGGAAGTACATTTCATTGGATCGATGACAATGTGTTCGCAAAAACAACATTTGATTTCCTTTAGGATCACATAAATATCATCTAAAATGACTTTGCTTAAAGGTAATCCTTTAGGTAATTTGTCCATATCGAGTTGATGAACAATTGGATCAGCAATGAGATTATGGTAGATTTTTTCTCTCATTAGATTGATGTACTTGACTTGTTTATTTTTAAGTTCTTGAGCCAAAGATTGAACTGAAACTTTCACTTCGAAAAACTTTTCTTTAGAAACATAGTCAGGTAAAGGCTGAACAGGATTCGGAGCGGGATAAACATTACGTTCCCAAACGTAATCATCAGGTCCAAGGTAATTCTTCTTGACCTCTTGGGTTACATTTTCATGATGATGAGCATCCTCGGGTTTTGACTGAATTTTATCACTTTCTGATGACATGTCTCTAGACTTTTCAATGTTTAACTTGATTTGCCTAAAGGTATCAATTGATTGTTCAATGTCGTTTACTAAAGTAGCTTTATAACGCGGGGTTATGATACCAGTAGATGTTGATGGACAGTCAAAACTTGGGAGATGATGAATTTTAATTGGCTTTAAAATGCTCGAATCTGATGAAGTTGATGAAAATTTTGATCTTTTTGGTTCACAATAAGGTTGAACTCGGTGTCTCTTTAGAGGATTTGGTTTATCGTAGAGATCAAAATTGAAGATTTGTTTCTGAGGTTTAGAAACAGAAGTGAAGTAAACACTTTTATTTTCAGAATCACTTTCAAGTTCACTGAATTTTATCAATAGATTGTCTTTAGACGAGGTGGACGATTCACTTAAGAAAACTTCTGATTCAGAACTAGAACTTGGGTTCACTGATGAAGATGAATTTTGTGATGAATTTGAAGTGAGATCACAAGGGGTAACTGAATCGTTTTGATTTTCTGATGAGGGTAAATCACTGTCAGTGTCACTTTTAGAAATTCGTTGAATATAACTGGGGCAATCT